TTTTTTGTGTGTGTGCTGAAACGTTTCGCCTTCGGTCTGGAAGGCTTCATCAGCTACTGGGACCGACTTCCTGTTCGAAAACATCCCTTTGGTTTTGTTGGCGTTTAGGACAAGTTTGAGACAGAACAATTCTGTCTGGATGATGTCAAAGGCGGATTGCAAAAGCTGGAGAACCTTAGCAACTGTTTTAGCTCGACAATAAACAACTGTGTCATCAGCATAGAAATGTAAGGATGCATCAGAGATGGTCTGACCTACATTACCTATGTAGATTATAAAGAGGGTGGGTCCTAAGACTGAGCCTTGTGGTACATAATTTTTAACCATTAAATAACTGGAAGAAGTACCATTATGTTGACTACATTGTCTCTGATCTGAGAGATAGTTAGAGAACCAACCAATGGTGTGTTCTGAGAAACCAATTTCTGAGAGCTTATGACACAAGATGTTATGATCCACAGTTTCAAGAGCTTTAGACAGGTGTAAGTAAAATGCAGCACAATAGTGTTGCTTCCTGAAACCAGACTGATGTGGAGGTAAGAAGTTAAATGAGTCCAAACACTTTGATTTGAGAGTTTATCAGTTTTTCTAGAACTTTGGCTAAAATGCAGAGTTTAGAGATTGGTCGATAGTTGTTCAGTGAGGTGGGGTCACCTCCCTTCAGCAAAGGAAGAACAAAGGCTGTTTTCCAAGAGTCTGGAACAGAGTTTTGACTTATGGACAGGTTGAAGATGTGAGACACTGGTTCTGCGATGATTTGAGCAGCAAGCCTTAATTTTAACTCAAACTGCATAAAGACGTTTCCAGAAAACAACTAAACCTTTTAAACTAAAAGCTCGTCGTACTATAAAATAAAACTTTTTTTTGAACGATCATTATTAATGGATGCATGTACCAACTTCCAGCTCTTTACTTGATTTGTCTGGCCATCGTCAGCGTTGTAGACGCAGTCTGCTGTCAGATGGGGGTGCTGCAGCTCCCCTGCATCCCTGTTTCCATCATCTCTGGAGTGGCTTCTTTCTTTCTTTCACTTTTTCCTTATTTTTCTTCTCCTTTTCAGAGGAACAAATGAGACATGATTCAAGAGGATATTTGTTAGTAGGGGTGAGTTTTGATTATATTTTTTTAGAATTAAATTTAGTATTTAAAGCTTCAAACTTGCTTCATTCTGTCTGCTGACATTAAAAACACATGATGCAAGTAGAAACTCTGAGGAGACACTTTTTGGATTTTAAACAAATGCGTAATCTCATAGTTGTCGTCTCCTCTTCTCTCTGTTTCTCGCTCTCTCTCACCAGGTAATCTCTCTAAAGTGGGGTTCGCAGCTTCAGCTCAGTTTCAGTCCTCCTCCTGCTCCTCTGTGGACCCTCCGGCTGTGTCCTCCTCTCTGGACTGACCTGAAATGAATGAACGAATGAACAGTTTTCACATTCATCTGGTGATCTGCACTTCCTTTCATCTGCTCTGTTTGTCTTCTCATTTACTGCCATGACAGCTCAGAGTGAGCAGTGTGAGAAGCAACCCTCAGCATCAAGGTGAGGATTTATTTCTACTTCAGTGCACGTGCATGTTTTTAATAGCCTAACCATATTTGCTCTTAGACTGGCGTGTTTCTTGGAGATAAAAATCCCAATATTCAACCCTCAAAGAAGCAACATCGATGTGTGACAAATATTTTCCTGATTGTTTGGAAAAAAAAAATCTTTAAAAATGCTGTTACCAATGATCGCCACAGATTTTTCATAAATTTAAGGATAATTTTCATTATTTAAGCTGCTTTAAAAATGAATTTTGCTTCAGCACTTTAATCCAACAACCTTGGATTTGCTTGAAGTGAGAACACAATCAACATTTCAGAAGAATCCCATTAGCATACATCATTTGTAATGGCAATTACCTTGAATCAGCAACGGTTGATGAGAATGATTTGAACCCCGTTATTGTGGCTGTAAAAGAAATATTCTCCCACCCACAGGAAAATCTGCCACTTCAGTGACTGATTGTCTGCTTACGGTTTCTTCTTCCCTCACGATCACGATCAATAACGTTTTTGACATGAAGAGTGTGCAACGTTCTGATGGGAAAATTAACACATCAAGACTCCATCAAGATTTCTTGAACATGTTTTCCAGTTTGCTTTCCTCTTTCATTTTGTAAAAAACTGCAATTTTGCATTTCTGCTATTGAATAACAGCATTTTTTTTAAACTGGTTTTATGACCCTTGAAAGAGAAAAAGTATTGAATTAGACCCGATGGATGACGAAAGTTTCATCATCAAAGAGGAAACGTCAAAATCTAAAATAATTTGTAAAGTAATAAATATCTACTGACAGTTTTAATTTTGCTTATAATCACTGAATGCAAATGTAAGGATGTGTCAAGAAACTGCAGAATACGTTTGAAAATAACTAATATTTAGCAAATAAATGATGAACAATGTCAGTTTTGCTTGACAGAACAATTACATTTTTTGGAAATGTCCCACTAAGGAATGATAAGATGTTACATAATATTTGCTCCCCCGCCCCTAAAAAAAAAAAGTAAACGTAACCAGAGATGTTTCTCATATCGTTTGTTTGTTTCCTCTCCTTTTTTTAACACAGACCCCTGGAGTTGTGCTGACATCTCACATCATTTCCCCACTTCTTATCACCACGATGGAGCTTTTGTTGCAGAGTTCCACTTCATCCACACCCCTCTACAACTCCAGCGTGCCGTTAAACACTTCGGGGAATACCAGCATTGACCGGTTCATGGAAATAAACCTCATTGAAATCCTCGGACCGAAACGATCTCCATTTTTCTTCCCTGTGACTACAATTTATCTTCTAATCTTTCTCACTGGCTTGTCAGGAAATCTGCTCACATGTGCGGTGATAGCAAAGCACAAGAAGATGCGAAACCCCACCAACTTTTACCTCGTGAGCCTGGCTGTGTCGGACCTCCTTGTGCTCATGTTTGGGATGCCCTTGGAGATTTATGACCTGTGGGAGAACTACCCGTTCCGCTTCGGTGAGGGAGGTTGCTATTTCAAGACGTTCCTCTTTGAGACAGTCTGCTTTGCCTCCATCCTCAACGTCACTGCTTTGAGTGTGGAGAGGTACATTGCTGTTGTGCATCCCCTCAAAACGCGATATCTGTCGACCAACCAGCATGCCAAGCGGGTAATCACAGTTGTGTGGGTAGTGTCTATGATCTGTGCGATCCCTAACACGTCGCTGCATGGCATCTTCTACTTGCCAGAGAGACTGGAGGAGTCGGCCATATGTACTGTTATCAAACCCGTGTGGATCTATAACTTATTGATGCAAATCACAACTGTGTCCTTCTATTTTGTGCCCATGATGATTATTAGCATGTTGTACTTTGTGATGGGCATCCACTTGGGCAAGGAAAGGCGTCAATTCAGGAGGAATCTGGGGAAGAACTGCTGCAGCAGCACCAGAAGAAAGATCAGCGCTGAGAGCGGGCGCAGGAGACAAATCACCAAGATGCTCTGTGAGTACATCGTGACAGAGGGTTGTCTGCAGAGATCATTTGAAATGTATTCACTTCAATGTCATGAAGACTGGTCCACCAACAACCATCCATCCATCCATCCATC